TTTTTAATAATAATTTTCAAAAGCTAATTCTATCGTCATTATCATGAAAATTATCCATTACTTAATATTTATCATTCTCTTGAATATCACTCATTTTAAATAAACAAAATCATGAACTTTTATGAATGAAGATATTATCCTTTATTTACTTAATAATACATTAATCTGTATTTTGTTAAAAGAATATTATTTTTTAATTAAATTGATATTAATCAATAATCCATTCATTAAACAAACCTTATATTATTCTCTCAATTTTTCAATAAGATTGAAATACATATAATTCTATCTTTTTGTTGTAATGATAAATTGAGAATAAACCATCAAAAGAAAAGACATTCTTTCTTTTTTTATGAACAATCAAAGAGTCATCATCATTGTTTCATTCATGGAATTTATATGCAATACTTTCTTTTTTACAAATGGAATAACTCATTTTTATGAGTTTTTTAATAAACCCAAATAAAATTAATCAAATTCAATTTATGGCTTGTAATTATAATCAACATCATGTGAACAAGCAGTCATATCTCCATTGTATTGTTTCATTGTTGGACGACTCCATCCACCGAATGGAGTGAAATCACCAAAACTATCCCAACTATCATAATGAGCATACCACAAAGGATATTCATCAGCATATTTAAAAGTATAGTCAAGTCCAAAGATTTGATCCCAATTATTATAATTTGTATAAATACCAGCCTTAAATCCAATTGCTCTTTGTTGGTTGATTATTATCATTTTAAAGAGATGAGTGTGTATTATCTTTGGTTAATTAGTATGAATAGAGATTATTGATTTATGTACAATATTTATAGAGTAACTTCATTTTGATAATATTCAAATATTATTTATTCTTAATAAAATGAAATTAGATATAAAAATTAATAAATATTATTTATTTTTAACTTTAACGACTATACTATTATCTTATCATACTTATTTATATATTCATTAATAATTAAATTGTTTCAATTATTTATTGGATTATTTCGTTATAAATTGATTCCTTTATATATAGATAATAAAATTCATAAACTAGTTAAAAGACACAGTCAAATGTTATTTACTTAGAAGTGAGTTACATTTAATATATAGTAAATAATTCTAATGAATTGTAATAATGAATATTATTAAAAGTTGAATTATTTCAAACTATGAATCTTAATAAAGACAATTAGATATTTAATTCAATAAAAAAAAAGAATTGTTTACTTAGAATGAATGAGGGAAGTAAGAGTGTTTGAATAAAAAAAAAAACAAAAATAGAAATGTATATTAAATATTAAAAGTATCAACTTTGCTTTAATGTTGATTAAAAGCAATGATTTATTTTTTCAAGTATTTGAATAAATCAATATTAATATTAAAGATATACGAAAAATGGTATGAAACATTGAATTTTTTTTTCAAATAAAAACAATAGCAAAATTACTAATTTATAAATAAAATGATTTTAAATTAAATTTTTGTATAATATTTTTAAAAGAGAAAGAAGTTATTCATCAAAAGTAAGTAAATCGTCAATAAAATCACCATCTAATATTAATGACTTAATCCCAACAAAGTAATCTCCCATATCTGATCTGAATTGGTTAATATCTATATTATCATGGTTATTAACCCAAATAGTTAATTGGTTAATTGATGATGGTAAATCTATTTTGTTAAGATAATACTTCTTTCTTTTTACGAAAAGTACAAAAAATAATTCTTTTAATTGAGTTGTTTTAGTTAAAGAAATTGATTCAACAATTCCACAACTAATTTGAGTAACAGTTTTAGGAATCATTGAATCAATAAGATAAGATAAATTTCCTAAAGATAATGATTGTAAATAACAATTATTAATTCCATTGTCAAGAAGATAAGGAGTAGTAAGTGAAGTTAAAGAAGAAGGGAAAATAAGTTTTCCAGGTAATTGAGGAAGAGAAAGTTCTTTTAATCCTGAGTTAAGAATAACTTCTTTTTTAAATTTATTTTTAATTACAAGTTTAGTTAATGTAGTTGGTGAAATAAATTTACAAAGAACTTTATCTAATTTTAATTCTTGAAGGTATTTCATTTTGTCAATAAAAGGCATGAATTGAAAAACTCTTAATGAAGTTACTTTAACTGTATCTATATTGGGAATTAAAAGGTCTACAAGAAGACCAGTGATTTTAAGTCTTTTTAAACAATTAGGAAGAGTATATGACTTAGCTTTTTGACAAATTTCAAGAGAAGTTAAACAATTAAATGGGGTTAAATCAACATTAAGTTCAGCACATCCAAAATATTCATTAGTAAGAGATCCAAATGCTAATTTTAATTTTGTTGGTAAATATTTTTCATTAAACCATTCTTGATGTTTAGTAATAACAGACTTTGAATAATCAAATTGACTTGATGACTCTATAGGGAAAAATGGATAACATTCAATTGGATAAAGACGAGTATTTTTAACAAAGAAATGATACAATGGAAATGTTTTAATAATAGTATCAATTGTAATTGATTTATCTTTATCAGTTAATGAATAATGTCCCCACTTATTCTTATCTCCAAAAATAACACTAACTCTGAATGAACCTTTTCTAATAATCTGTAATATATCTTTAAGACATAACCATGAAGTTTCACTTTCAACAAAAATAATAAGATGATTTAAATTTTGCATTTTTAATATTGTCTCATTAATACAATCTGCTTCAACTTGAAGAGTATTTGCTTTTTGATATCCAGAATAATCAAATCCTTCCAATTGATTATTTGAAATGATTTGATTCATTTTGATTGATGTAAGTTTACTTCCCCATTTTTGTGTTATTTTTTCTAGACTAAAACAATTATTAAAATTTACTCTAATTCTTTCAACTTTATTAAATTGTTCTTCTGTTAAACTTGTTAATTGTTTTGGATGTAATTGAAGTGTTTCAATATTTGGAAAGTATAAAAACAATTTATCAATAAATGAACGAACGTGGTCATTTGAATTAACAATAAAATATGAATAATAAACATTGTTTCTAACAACACTATAATCAAACAAAGGATTTACTCTAAGTCCAATACCTGACTCTTGACATTTTTTAGAGACTTGAAAAAAATGAGTGACTGTTCTAAAGTCTTGAATGTATAGAAGTACATTCATCATAAATGGAAGTTCTAACTTTACTTTGCTCATACCTTTTTTATTATTGAGTTTTTCTTTCAATCTTTTTTATTGATTTACTATTACTTTAGTGAAAAAAAAATAATAAGATTATTATGAAAAGACAATTTTTGATAAAAAATCTTTACATCAAAATTAATATATTTTTTTAATATGAAAAGAAAACCAACTGTGTCATTCAAAAAGAAAGTAAATCAAGCACTTTTAGAACCAAGCCTCTTTTTACAATTTGGACAGAAATGGACTGCGTTTTTGAAATTTCGCATACAGCAGAAAATAAGACCACAACAACAAAATCCAAGCAATGTAAAAATACAACACATAAGGCATGCCATACCTCCAGCTTCATACTTTACAACTGTTGTAACTGTCATATTACAACGAGGACAAAATGCTTGTTGTGGATCTCTTCCAAATGGGAGTTGGGTTTGTGGTGATGCTCCTGTTCCTTGTGTTTGAACAACAACAATTGGTTGTTGTGCTGGCTGACCCATTGGTGATGGTTGTGCATACCCTGGAGCTTGGTTATACATTGGTTGTGTTGGTTGTGGATACATTGGTTGTGCTGGTTGACCCATTGGAGTTGATTGGTCATACATTGGCTGATTGTACATTGGTTGTGCGTACATTGGTTGTTGTACATTTGGATTAACTGGTTGTTGTACATTTGGATTAACTGGTTGTTGTACATTTGGATTAACTGGTTGTTGAACTTCAGAAGTAGGTTGAACAACTTCTGGTTGAGGTGCTTGATTTTCTGTAGGTTGAACAGTTTCTTGTTGTGTGGGTTGTTGTACATTTGGATCAACTAATTGTTGTTGAACTTCAGAAGTAGGTTGAACAGTTTCTGGTTGAGGTGCTTGGTTAACTTCTGGAACAGGTTGTTGTTCTGTTTCTTGAGGTTGTTGGTTAACTTCTGGAACAGGTTGTTGGTTAGCGTCAGGAGCATCAGGGACTTGATAGGTTGAATCAGTCATTAAATAAATAAGGAGTTAATGAGATAAGATAGAGTCTCAATAAATAAAGTACTTTAAAAATAAACAACCATTAAATTTCTTGTGATATGGAAATGGGGTAATTTTGTCTCAACAAAAAGGGTTAATGTTTATGTATAATTTAAAATATTATTATAATTAAAAAGTTATTTAATTATTATTCTTTTTATATGATTTTTCATTTTCCTGTTTGTTTATTTGTTAAAAAAAAAATAAGTTTTTATAAAAAAAGGATTATATTTTCCAAAAAAATTGAAAAGTAAAAAAAAGAATGATTTAATGTCAGTGATATTGTTATTGAATTTTAGTTTTTATAAAAATATTGTCTTATATTCATTATTCCTCTTTAAGTTTTTATCATTTTTGTTGGAAGAAAGGAGTTTTTAAAAAATTGAAGAATGAAAATCAGAAATATTATACACAACATTAAAATCAATCAAACATTGAAGAATCAAATTATTTATTTCATTATTATTTTGTTTTTGATGAAATAATACCAATTCAATACTTATGGTTATTATTTATTAATATTTGTTATAATTATTATTAATGAAGTATTTATTATGAAGGAGTATTGTTAAATAATCAACATTCAAGTATATTTAATAATGTTGGTTTTGAATTAAACATATTGATATTGTCAAGATAAAGTGATAAGTGAATAATAATAATCAATAAGATAAAATAGAGTCATAATATTCTTAACATAGTCAACATAAAATAATAAAATAAAAGAATATAAAATCAAAATTAAATAAAAATTTAAATGAAGAGAATATTTGAGTTGATAATGATAGTTGAAAAAAAAATAATTCACAAGAAATAAAACATGGTGAAGAAAGTGAAACGTTCATTTCTCAATATGATGAAAATCTAATTATTAAATAAATCATAATTAATTAATTTTTGTTTTTATTTAATTTAAACTTTTTACTATTTTTGTATATACAATTATACCCTTATTTTTCAATGAGGAATTAATATTTCTATCGTTTTTTTTTTTTCTTTTTGGAAGGTGTGTATTTTTTCAAAAATATAGTTTTTTTGGTTTTACTTATAAAATAAATTTTGATTTATTACTTTGTAATAACAATTTGGATATTTGAAAAAATTATTAAAAAGTATCGCTTTGTGAATTATTTTATTTAGTTTTTTTATGTATTTTTTCGTGATTATTGAAATGGTTATTTAAATATTCAGATGAAAAACTTAATTAAAAAGTTATTGGATAAAAAAGTTAAAGATTTACTTAAGTAACAGAGACAACAGAGTTAGAATGCTCTTTTACAGGAAAGTATAGTAACAATAATTTGAAGGAGTATGAAAAGAGCCAAAAAACAAGAAAAAAGAAACAGGTTATTTAAATAATAATTAAGAATTAGTTTGGGAATGAGAAATAATATAAAATAAAAAAAAAGTTGAGAAGATGTAATGATGAAAATTAATAAATATTTTTTTGTAGACTTTAATAAAAATAAAAAGAAAGAAGCATAAAAGATATGACAAATAACATTATTACTTAATAAGAGAAAATTTAATTGAAATTTGTTAAACTGAAAAAGAAATTAAGTATTTTATTAAATACTGAAATATATCCATTTTGAAAGGTATTTTAATTAAACAAATGGGAAACAAAAAAAGAATGAAAGAAAGGATAACAAATTGATAACATTAATAGAGAAAATTAAAGTAGAAAATATTATATTTTGTATATTAAAGAAGAAACAAAGAAATAAATAACAAAAGGATAATAAAAAGATATTAGGAAATATTATATTATCAATCTAATCACAAAGAAAAGCAAAGAAAGAATAAACAAATAAATTATAATTATTCAACAAAATTTAAAAAAAGAGAATGATAATTATTAATTAAATATTAAACTGTTTAAAATTCAAAACAATAAAATCAATATTAATTCAATAGTAAAAAAAGTATTATCAATGTTTAATAAGTTGTTCATTATTTTTCAAATTTTTAATATTCCATTTTTTCACTTTTGTTTTTGGTCCTAAACAAAGCATTATTTCATTTGTATTTATTTCAGTAATTTGTGAGTTTTTATACGTTAAATATCTAATAACATCACACGTTATTGTATTTATTGTACAACTATATAAATCAATACTATGACAAATTCCATATATACTTAAAGTATTACAATCAACATTAGTTAACTTAATTGAATTACATTTTAATTTTAAATAATCAAATTGGCAATTTTGTAAATTAATATAACTAAAAGGAAATTCACAAAAATCAATTTCTTTTCCTTCATAATTCCAAAGTTCCATATTTTTATTTCTTAAAGTAAAATATTGAATATCATTTAAAATAGTTTCTTTATCATTATATTTAAAATTGATTGTTTGTAAATTGTTATTGTTTTCAACATTTATAAAATTATTACAAGAATTTATTATTGCTGAAGTAATTTGATTTGTATCAATATAAATGTTATTTTCTTTAAGTAATATACCATTATGATACCATTTTATTTCTTGAATACAACTAATTGCAATTTTTTTTAATTTATCATCATTTATGTCAATTGATTTTCCTTGATAATTATTTAATATTAATTTTTGTAAATAACATTTTGAAATGTCAATTGATGCTTTACAGTGTTTAATAGTTAATGATTTTAAATTAGTTGGAATAACAATAATAAGACTTTGTTTTTCAACTTTTTGTATTGTTAATGATTCAATAACAAATGGTGTTAAATCAATTCTATTTACTTCATAGTCATTTAAAATATTTTCAATAATAACATTTTGTATATTATTTTTATTAATTATTTCATTAATTTGTTCGATTTTATCTAAAATATCACTTTCAATATAAACAGTATTATTATATTTTTTAAAATTATTTAAATATTTATTTTCATATGGTAGTAATGGTAAATAATGTAAACTTATTGTTGATTTATTAAATATTCTAGTATAAAATTTACAATTAACAAATTGCTTAAAATCAATTTGTTTTAATAAATTAGTATTTGTAAATCTATATTCATTTAAAATAATAATAAAATTGATTTGTTTATGTTTATTAACATTAATTTTTTCTAAATATTCTTGAATTTCAAGAATATTACAAATAATAATAACTTTTTTTAATGTTGGTAATTCAATTAATTTTTTTATTATATTAAAATCAATTGAATGTATAATAACTAATTCTTGTAATTGAATAAAATAATTTGGATGTTTTAATTGAAATTTCATACTAAAATCAATATTTATTCGTATTTTTCTTATTTTGGAACAAAACCATTTTGTATCAAATACTTTTGTTTGATTTGTTCTTTCATTCCATCCTCCTATTTCAATAAGTGGAATATCATTTGCTGTTATTTTGTATAATCGTTCTGAACATCTTCTAACATAAAATGTTTGTAAATTAGGAAATAATGGAATAATTTCATCAAATGAATGATGAATTGTTAATTCATATGGATTGACATAAATCGTATTGATTGCTTCTTCACATGATTTACTTACTTGTGCAAATCTCCCTACATCTTTTAATGTTGGTAAATACAATAAAACATTCTTTAAAAAAACATTTTCTAAATGAATCATTTTTTGTTGGTATTCTTTTTAGAAGTTCTGTTTTTTAAGTTTTAATAAAAATGAAGAATAATTTCAATATTAGAAATATTTAGTTTTTTTAATAATTTACTGCTTAACTACTAGGAATTTTTTTAACTATTGTAGAAGTAAAATAATATTGTTTTTTATTTTTTTGTGATTATATAAATCCATTTGAATGGAAAATCCTTTTCCAATGCAGGAAATACATCAAATTTTAATGCTAAGTGCAATGGTTATTGTATATAAAGTCTTTGTATATTTTAAATAAAACAAAACATGACACAGAAATCCAACTCATACAATAAAAGAATGAATGTCAATAGCAATAAATGGCATAATAATAATAACAATAATAATAATGGTAAACGAAATACCAAGGAAAAAAGGGGATTAGAAGACGAAAGGCACAAATTAAAACAAATAAGAAACAATGTAAATATAATAATAATAAAGATTATACAAATAACAAATATAAATGAATAACAATAAATGATATACAAAAAAGCATAAAAAGAATACAAGTGAATGAAACAAAGGAGAATATGAAGAAATACACAAGAAGTAAGAAGGTAAAAGAAAAAGATGGAATGATATTCTTTAAGAAGTATATTCAATCAAAAAGAAAAAGATAATTGAAAAAAAAAATGCAAGAAGAAATTAAAAACAAAACCCAAACAAAGAAATGAAAGAAAGGTGTAAAATTACAAGAATAATAAATAACAAAGAAAGTATAATGAAAATACAAGAAGAAATACAACAAAAGAAAGAAATAGAAATTTAATTGAATTGATGTATTGTTTTGCAATTAATTGGTTGAATAAGAAATTATACAAGAAAATAAGAAATGAACAAATAGAAAGTATAATAAAAGTAATAAACATCAATGTCAATAATGAAAAAGAATATATTAATTATATTAAAATATCACATAAAATAAAAGAAAATACTAAACAATACATTAAAATGAAAGTAAATGATATAATAGAAGAGTAGAATGTGATTCAATAATAAAAACATCATATTAAAGAATAACTCTACATAAATTGATGAAGAATATCTTAACACTCTCATCAATAATATAAAAGAAATGAAAATAGAAAAATGTACTAACATTAATTACTACTGGAAAAGAAAAGAGGTTGACCGATTAATAAATGAAATTAATAATAGATGGATATTGTCATGAAGCAGAATGGATTATCTGCAAGATGATATGAAGATGATTTCAATTTGTATGCACCTTTATCTCCAAAATAAAATAATAAGAGATAAATTTGATGAAATTAAAGAAATCCTAAAGAAAATCAATAGACTAGAAGATTTGGTCAAGGGAAGGAAATGGTACAGAATAAAGTGCATCATGAAATTAAATGAACATGATGAAGAAGGAATAAAAGTTAAAGCACTAGAAAGAATAAAGTACCTAAAATATATGATGACTATGATCAAAGAAAGAATTAAATTTAATAAGGAAGAAAGGGTCAGAATCAATACAAATAAAATCATGTTTGATTCTAACAAGAAAATTAAAATAAGGAAGAAACAAAAAATGAAATATACCCAAATAACGATATTACTTTAGAATATTGGAAATCGTTATATGAAACACAGGTGATATTAAATAAAGATAACTGGAAAATAAAACAAATCATCTCGTGGAATGAAAGATATATCAATTATGATAGTGTCATGATAACAATAAATGAATTAAATTTAAGTATAATGAAAATTAATAACTGGAAAACACCAGGAATAGACACTGTATATGAGTATTATTGGAAAATGATGTCATCATCAAGAGAAATCATTCTTAGTATCTTCAATGAATGGTTGAACTTCATTCAAAACATCCCATTAGACATGGTAAGTGGAAGAACTTTATTAATCCACAAAGGAGGTGATATGAATAATGTCACTAATTATCGTCATATCAGTTGTACAAATGTAATTATGAAAGTATTTACCTCATTATTAAAAGAAAAGATTCACAGAAGACTTAACATGAATAATGAATCATTTAAAATTAGTAATAAACAATTGAGATGTAAGTTACAATCTTTAGCTGCTAAAGAATGAATAATTAATAGTTATATGATGAAGCAGCAAAAAGAAGAAAAATACCCAAAATATGATGAGTCATATTATGACATTAAGAAAGCATATGACACTGTCAACCACGAATGGATAATTGAAACATTAAAATATTTTAATTATGAGTTTGTCATCATTGACATTATTGAAAGTATGATGACTAGATTGAAGATATTCATCGGTTATAAATTTAATGAATATCTAGGCAATATTAAATTAAATAGATGAATTTTACAAATGATTCCTTATCAAATCTACTCTTCATCATACAGATGAATGTAATTTCTCAAATCATCGAAGAGAAATTCCCAAAAGCAAATCACACATTATATATCGATGATTTGCGAATAATGACACAAAGTAGTGAAGAAATGGGAATAATCCACAATGAAATTAAAGAAATAATAAGTATATTGAAATGAATGAGAAAAAGTCAGGAATGGTATTAAAAAACATTAAAGAAATACCAAATGGAATGCAAAACATCCCCCTAGTTGAATATGATGACTTGTATAAATATTTAGGTGTATGGCAATCTGATGAAATTGATGATACCTTCAATTGTAAAACCATCAAAGAAAAAATGATGAAAAAGATGGAAGAAATAAACAGTGATGAAAGTAGTAATAGAAGATATATTACTAGAATAAACACAGAAGTAATCAATATCTTCAGATATTCAGCATCAGTTGTAAATTGGAAAATCACTGACCTAGATAAAATGGATTTGGAGATAAGAAAATATTTAAGAAAGGCAAAATACATTGGTGAAACTCCAAAGATCGGTTGTATGTCATTATATAAGAAATGGGTGAAGGATTAATAAATATAAATGATGAATATGTTATTGAATTAATTAGAACAGTGATGTACTACTGTACCAGAGAAAGTGAAATAGGAAATAACATATTAGATAGATGGTACAGTAAGAAGGGAATATGGAATAGAATTAAAAACAATAATTCATAAAATAAATGAAACAAAAATAGAAGAAATAATAAATGAAGGGATTGAAAAGAAAAAAAGAAAACGAAGTAGTAGTAGAAATAAAAATTATTGACAAATACATCAAAAAATGGAAGTGTCATCAAACAAATGGATATTTTAGAAGATGGTTTGAGTCAAAATGAGTAGATAAAACTACTACAGTGAAAGCATAGAAGTCCATCAATATAAAAAAGAATGTATTTCTACAATTAACTAAAATGCAAGATGGAGCAATATTTTGTGGGTATAGAAAATCAAAAATAATGAAAAATGAAAGATTGAAATACTGCCCACTTTGTAAAGACAAGATAGCAACAGTAGAACACATTCTACTATCTTGTATTTATCATAATAAATCACAAATGGAAAAACATGACCATATAGGCATAATAATATGGGAGGGATTAATAAGAAAATACACTGGAAATAAACAATATAAAAACCCCCATATGAAACAGTATTCAAATATAAAGACATCACAATGATATTTAACAAACAAATAATGCCTAAAAGTGAATAACAATATCACAAAATACCAGACATATATGTATTAGATAAAAAGAATAAAACCAGTTTATTATTTGATATGACTATTGTGGCTGATTACAATATTAATGGAGCCTATTGGAAGAAAAGAAATAAGTATAAGGAATTAAAGAATATTCTAATGAAAATAGAAAAATAAAAGATGTCAAAATAATTCCAGTAGTAATTTCAAATAAATAAATGGATTAATATATAAAGAAAGTATTAAATTAATTAAAGAAATAAAAATTGAAATTGACATCGAGCAAGAAATTAAAAACCTTGTAATACAAAACATGATGGATGTAATTGAATACTACTTCTATCACAACCAAACATACTCCGTAGAGCTGCTTGAAGAAGAAGACGAAGGGACGGGATTAGTCTCCCCTGAGCCAGGAAGAATAGAAGCTAGTTCTATTAATACTTAATTAATTGCTTTTTATTATCATTTTTATTGTTTCATTTCTTCTTTTATAATTTGATTTATTTTATAAATCTTCATTATAATATATTGAAATTGTTTATGACAAATAAACAAAA